AAAAAAAAAAAAAAAAAAAAAAAAAGACAAGAAACGAGGAAAAAGGAGACTTAAACCTAAGTCAGAACTGTGGTATAAAAGTCACCTGTTTTGTGGCAGAAACACATGTTTACAAACATGAAGTCATCAGAAACCTGTGATAGATACTGGAAACCTAAGAAATATAAATGCCAAGTCAAATGGTCAACAGGACTATCCTTTGGAGGTAAGTAAGGAAAAGACTATAATTTTACCACATTTTTACATAAATCAGAAAAGCCCTGATTCCATATGCATCCTTTTAGCTTGCCACCAATTTCTCTTTATCTTGATGGGGGGGGAGGGGGGAGATAAATAAAACAAAACCTAAGCCATAGAACCTTTGTGGTAACAATAGAAGCTGTGACTTGATACCTACCCCAAACTACAAATGAGAGCTCTGACCCAGTAATTCCAATATTAGAAATTCTTCCTATAGATATACCTACACATCTAAAGTTATTTGAAGCACTACTTTAGTAATAAAAGATTAGGAACAACTTCAGTATCAATTAATAAGAACTAGAAACTGGTTAGATCATCATGGCACATCTGTACAATGGACTATTATGGAACCATAAAAAACAAAAAACCCTGAGGAAAGTCTATATTATTATGTTAAGACCTCTAAAGAATATTGTAAAGTAAAAAAACAAGGTGTAGAATAATGTATCTAGTATGTTATTTAAGGGAAAATATAAGCCTATAGCTGTATTTGCTTACCCACGCACAAAAAAAATCTAAAATGTCACATAAGAACCAGTCACTGGTTATCTGTGAAAGGTATGAAGGTAGACATCAGGAGAGAACATCTTTCTCTGTAAGCCATATATATGTATGTATGTATATATATACATATATATATATATATATATGGTTTTTTTTTTGACTGGGGATTACATGTTAGGCAAGCACTCTATAACTAAGCTACATTCCAACATCCCTCCTCCCCATCTTTTTATTTTTGGAGTCAGGGTCTTGCTATGTAGCCCAAGCTGGCCTTGAACAATCTTAATTTTTTTTGGTGGCACTAGGGTTTGAACTCAGACCCTCACACTTGCTAGGGCAGGTACTCTTACCGCTCGAGCCACTCTACCAGCCCCTTTTTGTGATAGTTTTTTTCGAGATAGGGTCTCCTAACTACTTGCCCAGAGCTGGCTTCGAATCACAATCCTCCTGATCTCAGCCTCCTGAGTAGCTAGGATTACAGGTGTGAGCCACCAGAGCCCAGTCAGGCACTGCACTCTTAATCTTCCTGCTTCTGCCTCAGCCTCCAAAGTACTAGAATTACAAGTGTGCACCACTGTACCTGGCTTATATATATTTTAAGTTTTTTTTTTTTTTGGGGGGAACTGGGGTTTGAACTCAGGGCTTCACACTTGCAAAGCAGGCACTATGCTGCCTTGAGCCATACCTCCAGCCCTATTTTTAGTTTTTGAACTATGTGACTGTATACCTATTCTTTAAAAAAGAAGACAATGAAATGGGGAAGGTACAGGAAAGGAGTTTGTAGAATCAGAAAATGGAAAATTGAATAAGCACTGTAATAGCTAAAACCTTCAAAGATCTCTAAAGGCAGAGCCAAGAATAGGAACATGAGACAACAGTTACAAGGGCAGTCAGCACTGATCTTCTGCTGGGTAATAATCATTTGGGAAAGCTGGGATGGGGAAGGAGATATGATGATGGTGTGGCTAACCTGGTAGTGCAGTGGTACAAGTCAGTTCATTGGGCAACTGAAATTGGGTGGGGTTCCGCTCCATGGCAGCAGCAATCAGCAGCTCAAAAGGCCGCCTCAGCTGGGGCTGCACATAGTCCGGCTCTGCTGCAACTGGCTCCTCGTCCACGTCAATGATGTCCTCATCGACGTCATTCTGCTCAGAGGTGGGGGTCTCTGTGCTGGCATTGGATGTGGGGGTGCCAGGCCGGCTGGCTCTCCTTTCTAGGATCCGGGCATGGGCAATGGCCTTGAGTTCAGTTTTGCTAGCTGATCTGTCCAACAAGTCAGTGTCACTGCTGGGGGATGTAGTCCGTTTGCCAGATTTGTCCACCAGTCCATTGACATGACCCAGCTCCTTTTTCTGCTCTCGTTTCTGTACAAATGAATAGGTGCGCCCATCATGAAAAGTACCACAAAATAGAAAGAAGGATGTACAATATCCTGTTAGATCACTAATCAAAATTACAAAGTCCCTTACATATCCCAGAATCTACCTAGGGACTGGGACACTGGTCTGTTAAAATTGACACAACTATAAAAAAATTGAACTAACTAAAGCTGAGAAAACTATTACAGCAGGGAATCACTAACAACATGTAAAATTAGAAACAACTATGAAGATTATACATCATTAACTCAAACTCACCATATGACATATAATATCTACATACAAAGTATAGAACAAAGGCCTAAAAAAATGAACATAGTAAGAACGTGACCAACGAGGGCACTGTTGTTTGCCTCCTGATCTTCTGAATGGTTTTAAAAACGTTATTCAAAATAAAGAAAGTCTGCAAACGCAGAGGTAAAAGGTAAAATAGTTCAATAGAGCTCCCTTCTCAGGGAGATTGGGTGCTACCATGGAAGACAATTGTGCTACAAGCTAGAGAGGTGATGTGTGGAGGGGAATGACCTAGCAATAAGGGTGTCCAAGAATTGTGGCTTTCAGTGTTTCAATTTTATCTAGAACTCTGAAAGTAACACTTCTTAGAAAGCGGGAAGCAGAAAAAGCTGAAGTGTACTCAGTAGAAATGGATGACTGATAGTACGTTTTTCCTTCACAAATAAGAGTAGCCAAAGGAAGATTTCACACTGGTTTCCAGTTAGGAGAGCTGGGATCTTGTCCCAGTCTGTCACCAATTTTCTCTGACTTTGGGTGACTTGTGCTGGTGGAGTGGCTCAAGTGGTAAGGACACCTGCCTAGCAAGCATGAGGCCCTTAGTTCAAACCCCAGTGCCACCACAAATAAGTAAAAAAATAAATTAATTTAAAAAACAAGATATGAAGTGAGACCAGTAAAGCCTTTCTATTCCTCTGATGGATATATGATGTTGGTGAAGAGGGTCCTATATATGAAAGGGACAGCTCTGAGCTGGGGGAAGACTTTGCTTCTACTAGGAATAATGATAGGACCTGAACATCAGAGGTCAATGAGGCTCAGAGGATGTATCTTTTTCATTTCAATCCATTACAGTGTAAATACAAGAGGCCAAAGGAGAGTGGTGTAGAGACAGAAAAGGCAAATTTGGCATCAATAGGCAAAGAGGTCCATGTGAAAGTAGGCCAGAGCAGCATCTCAGGAAAAACACCCTATGTTAGAAAAGGCATACTATAAGCCCTAGCAAGTAGCTCTGTTTCTAGAAAACCAAAGATAAGTATTAGACTTAGGAACAAGACAAAATTTGCCTCAAATCTTGGCTCTGCTGATTCCTTTCAGTCCTTGGGAAAGTTATTCTACATTTCTCAGTCTTAAGTTTCTTCTTTTCTAAACTGGAGATCTACTACTGGCCTACCTAGATAGCAGCATAGATTGAGATAACGTAGTAAACATGCCTGACATAATGTTAGTTCCTTTTCTCTATCTTGATGTCTTCTCCCTCAGCTGCTCTCAACACTTTTAGGCCCAGCTTCTTTGCATGGCAGGTTTCCAAAAGGCTTCCTGAATGGCAGGTCTGGCCCTACTCTAATAGGGGATGCACAGGAAAGGATCTTAGAAGGTGGATAGGCCTGGGTTGTAGACATTATAGAAGAAATTGAACTATAGCTGCAGTTAGGTGGTTGACCTGACTCCAACTTGCTTTTTAATGGGAACCTTTGTGCGCATACTGGAAAAACAATGGCTGCCCAATTGTTTACCTTCTTTTTTAAAGGCCAAAAACTGTTACACACATAAACCACAATCTCTGAATCATCTCCTCATCCTGTTTCTGCAATCAAGGAAGTCATCACTCATTTGACATCATGTTCAGGGGCCAGGAAAACAGCGGTGATGTCACAATAAAGGAAAGTTGCTTTGTGTATAGTATGGGGGGAGACTAATGGGGTGGCTTGCAATTCATGAATTCTAACCCACAGTCTATAACTTGAAGGTTGGGTCAAACATAATCTGGGTGGAAACACACTACTTCCTTTTTTGATAAGAGAGAATTTAGCTCTTGCTCCCTGTGAAAATTTTCGAAGTAGAAAATGAACCATGTTTATAATTCAGCCACTACTGACTTAACAAAACTGAGGGAAGGGGAGCTAAGGAGGCAACTGGGGTACAAATGGGTTCAAAATCCTCTCTGCTGATACTACTATCCAATGACTTTTATTTTGGGGTGAGAGAAAAACCCTTTTTCATCAAACTGGAGAAGCAGCCATGGGTAAGGCTGTCACATTCAGGCCATTTACTACGAGAACATTAAAAATAAGATCAGACTACTTCTGTCACTAGCAACTAATCATGGCTTAGTGAGTTAACACACTTCTGGTCCCCTTCAGTGGCCCATGTTTGGATTTTAGGACCACTACAGTCACTACAGGGAGAATAGGGAGATTCTAGGGCTGGAAGAGACAAGAAGGGATGAAAATGCCTTCAAGGCCAGGCCATTTTAGCTCTAGAGTATCAGTGCTCTAGATCTGGCATCCTGAGCAAAGCCTTCAGAAAGCAGCATTATTACCTTTCGGCGAACAGTACACCGGTGACACATCCACTCCCCAGGAGGCAACATCTCTTCACTCAGTGGAGGGTTACTGTGGGGAAAAGACAAGGGCAAGACTAAGTAACTAACCCTTGGATGCAGCAGGAAAAAGGCTGGGTAGTTTTGGCACAAGCTGCATGTCCCTGAACTATTTTGGCTAGTCCTGTAGTACTGCTTGAGTTCTGTCATCTTTAAAATGCCTACTGGTGGCACACACTGGTAATCCCAGTATTTAAGAGGCTAAAGTAGGATTGAGTTCAAAGCCAGCCTGAGTTACACAGCAAGATCCTATCTCAAAAAAACAAAAACAACAACAAAAAACCTTAAATATTTATAATTCCCTAAGGAATGATCATTCTTCTCACACCTTAGAAAAAGGAGTCAATTCCTTATCTATTGACACTAGGCTTACAGGAAAAGGTATAAGGAACTAATCTGGAGCCTGGAGAGTCATTCCTGAACTCTGTACCAAGAGATCTTCTATACTATTTTAATCCCTGTCACATAAGTCTTCCATCTTTCCAGACCTCTTTCAGGTGCTGTTCCCCTAGTTAAATTGAAAACTTGTTATTTCTTCTTTTGGAGTAACTGTCATCTAGGAAAGCTGTATCTGTCAAAACTTTACTTGTCTTTTAAAACTTGTGGGTTTGACATGGCTGCAAATTCTTTGTTTAGTTTCCTAGACACAGGTAGTTCATTTCCCTCCACTTGAATTGAGCGTGTCTTATGACTTATTTTGACCAACAGAATGCAGCAGAAGCAACATGTTGTTACTTCCAAGCCTCAGCCTTAAGAGATCTGTAGATCCCACTTTTATACGATTGCAATGTTCCATCTTAGGGCCCTGTTGTCATGCCATGAGACGCCACATGGAAGAGACTTGTGGGGCTCTAATCAACAGCTTCAGTTGAACTTCAAGTCAATAGGTAGCACCAACTACTGCTGTGAGTAAGTCATCCTGGACATACCAACTCAATCAGTCTCCAAACCCAAATAATTGCAGTCCCAGTCAATATGTTAAACAAAAAACCATCCAGCTGAATCCAGTCAACCTTCAGAATTGTGAAAGATAATAAATAACTAGTTTCTGTTTCAAGCCACTTAAGTTTTGGGGTAGTTTGTTATGCAGTAATAGATAACCAGACACAGTTCCTCTTGTGCCACTTACATGTTTAGTTCTCCTTTGGTATTTATGCTTTGCTTTGTGTGACGGTTCTTTTATTATTATTTTTTATTAGAAGGACCAAGACAATACTGTACCTCTTCCCTCTTTGTATCTTTACACTAAAAATTGTGTACATGGTAGTCATTTAGTAAGTCAAGACTGAATAAAAAACAGAGCTGTGTAGAATTGGGCCTTACAGATAGTCCAGGTCACTGATTTCCATTAAGGTTATACCAAGAGCCATATAGGACTTTATTAAATCCTTGGGAGAGTCATATTTATATGGCTTGTACAACAGATACTTTGTTCTCAAAGTGCTTTCCGCAAGTTAGTTGCAGTAGCATTTATTAGAAATGCAAATTTTGAGGCCAAATGAATCAGAAACTCTAGCAACTCGTGTTTAACAAGCAAGTCTAAAGATGATACTGCTGAACACCAAAGTCTAAAAAACACTTTTAGATAGCAAAAGGCTACATTTATGTTTAAGTAATTCCTTTCTTAAGCTCATGGGGTCACCTACTTCAAGTAGTAAGAAAAATTTTCTTCAAAGAAACAAACATTTATATGTGTGTATGTTTTACAATATACCTGGACTGGCCTTTAAGTCCTAGGGCTTACTGCCATGTTACTTTACAATTTACCTGAAGCAGCACTTTGGCCTGGCAAATGTTCCTAGCTCCTGCTTTGCTATGTTTCCCTGGAGCCCTGAGCATACATGTCAGATGCTCACCAAGCCTTCACAGCTCATTGCTTCCCTTCCTCTGTTTCCTTAGTGGAATCTCAGGAGGATGCTTACTAGGAAGCAGAAAACTGGAGACACAGTGGTCTATTGGGACAGGTCTCCAAGCCCTAGAGGACCACAGATGAATGTTACCTATAAACTCTTCCCTAGTTCTCATCAATGTATTTCTGCAACAGGCCTCATCCAAATTAATGAAACGCATACATGTCATTTGCAAAGGTCTACAGACTCTGCTATGCTTCAGCAGCTGTCATATTAAAATTAACCCTGAAGGCTGTCACTTCCAATTCTGTTTTTCATCATTTCTTTTCATCTTCCCACTGGCATTGTACCAAGATATCCTAAATCAAACAGAAAAAAGAAAAGGGCAAGGCAAAGTAGTATGGGCTTAGATCTTTCATCAAGCTGTGAATGATCTTTGAGCCAACCTTCACGCTTTCTTCAATCTATTCCCAACAATGTTGATAGTGATTATTTAAAACACAATTCTGAAGCAAGGCATGGAGAATGCTTGGAATCCCAACACACAGGAAGATACAGAGTTTGAAAGATAAAGAGTTTGAAGCCAGCCTGGGCTATATAGGAAGGCTCTGTTTCAGTAAAAGCAAACAAAATCCCACAATGTGATCATTATCACTCTACTGATTAAAAAGCCCCTTGATGGCATTGTCCCCCCACCCATTATAAGATAAATTTGAAGCTCCTCAGTATTACAGGTAAGACCCCTATGGCCAGGATCCTGCCTCTTTCTCTAGTCCCACCAGTCTGATAGCTCATTATACAGCCCACGCTGTTTCTCATCTCTGTGCCTCTACTCATTCCAGTGCTGGAATCTACAATCATGCACGTCTTCTCCTACTCCTTCACCTGGAGAACTCCTTATCTTTTGAGGAGTCGTCGCATGTCAAGATTCTCTCCATAAAGCTTTTCTGACAGCCCTGGTTCCTCATAGCATTTCTCTGCCACTCAAACTATTATGCACCCAAATCCCCTTCTCTATGTTTCATTTATCTTTGTACCTCCACACCATGCACAATGCCTGGCATGTTGTGGATACTCAATTTACGCTTTATAGAATAGGCTTTTAGGAAGTGAGTACAAAACCTCCAACGTCATGCAATTGAGCAAGCACTTGTTTTGGTCATTAAATCACACATGAAATTACCTGTCTTCCAAGTCACAAAACAATGAGAATACAGGAGTCAAAACATAATCTATGCTGGGCATAGTGTGCACACCTGTAATCCTAGCTATATAGGAGACCGCAGGTAGGAGGATCTCCCAGGCAGAAAGAGAGAGAGAGAGAGAGAGAGAGAGAGAGAGAGAGAGAGAAAACAAAAACACCCCCAAACTGGCATTAAGATGCTTTCAAAAATAGTTCCTTATTGGTTTCTAAAGGATCACTTTAGATACCAAAGATCACTAGAGATACCAAGTTTAAAAACACCTTTCTCAGAATTCTAGATTATAGCCACAGATTCCTTTTGTTAGGTATGCCCTAAAGCATGGGGAAGGAGTCATGAGTTTAAAGAATAGTCCAAGGAAATTCAAATGTTGTCTCAAAGATGAATACCCAATATTTGTAAGAGTAAGGCCATTTTGTTACTTGTCAAAACTTGCTGCTTTCTTAGTTTATATTTCTTCACAGCACCAAGCACTTCCTTTCAAAGTTTTTTGTTTGTTTGTTTTAGTGGTAGTGGGGTTTGAACTCAGCCTGCAGGTCAGTGGTCTATCACTTCAGCCATATCCTCAGCCTTTCTTTCAAGAAATTTAGAATACAGTTTTCAATTCAGATGAAAGGGCTCAAGAAAAGACAGATTGTTACTGGGGTAAGCTCAGGAACCAGTTCCAAAAGAAGCTGTTTGCTCCATAGCTGATGGGGAAAAGATTCCAAGGAGAAAGAAGATTCTATAGCCAGACTACTCATGCACTCACTCTAAGGACTTCCACTTCAGCTACCTAATTCAAAGTTCCTTGCAGCTAGGAGCTGCTGGCTCATGCCTGTAATCCTAGCTACTTGGCAACCTGAGATCAGGAAGATCCTGGTTTGAGGGCAGTAAAGGCAAATAGTTTTGCAAGACCCCATCTCCAAAGAGTCAGAAGAAAATGGACTAGAGGCATGGCTCAAGCAGTAGAGAGCTTGCTCTGTTATCAAGAAGCCCTGAGTTTAAACTCCAGCCCCACTAAAACAAAAACCAAGCTCTTTCTAAGTACTGTGCTCCCATTAGTTTAATGTGCAATTCCAAAACAATTATATATGCATGCAAGGTCTTTAAAGTATGAGATGCCTGTCAAGAAAAACAAAATTCCGCAGGGCTGTAGCTTAAATGGTAGAGTACCTGTCTAGCAAGTGGAAGGTCCCGAGTTCAAACCCCAGTACAAAGAAAGAAATAAAGACAAGATTCTGCCCCAGTGCCCTCTCATCCTTATATGTCACTGAAGACAGGGTGCTGGAGGCCATCCTTTATAAAAGGAAATCACTAAAAGTTAAAAATCAGGTAACAGTAAGTTTATTGTCAGAGTTTTAATTGCTCAGCAGTGAAAACCATGAAAAAGCTACGAGCTAGTGCTGCCTGTAAAGACATCAGTATGCTTCCTAATCACTAATGCCTAGAAATAGGAAACTGATAATTTCATCTTCTATCTAATGTATTACAGTTCACAGTGTTTTAACAGATACTGTTATTTGATATTTACTACTACTACACTATGAGATAATTCTTATTTCCATAGAGCCAGTAATTAAGAATTGGAACCTAAATCAGTTTCCTGGCTCTTTCCAAACTTGAGACCAAGTTGTTGGTTAAGAACCTTTAGTAGTGTTGTGGGCCAGTGTCAAGTTCTTGCCTTCACAGGTCAAAGAACTGGCTCATGAGGCAGTGGATTGACTTGTGGGACAAGGTTGACACACAAAGTAGGACTCATTAGAGAAAGAAAAGGCTACAGCTAGAGCAGTACTGTGGAGCCTGGAAACCTGTGTCTCCCTGCTCAGGTAAAGGCTGGGGCTTTTTATGGACGCTTTAACTCTGGGTTAAGGTAAGTGTTAGGTGGGTTTTTTCCATTGGCCTTGGAATCATGTGCATGCGTGCACGGG